GGTGTAGAACAATGAGCAATTCTGTCTACTTGGCCTAATCCATGAATAGGTTTACAGTATTTGTTCATATAAAATATTTCAGTTCCTAAAACACATGTTTTTCAAAAGGGCATGAAATAATATAAATATTCATAATATAAATATTTCAAAGTCTTCTATTTATACTGAAGCTGAGAGAAATGGGCAATTGTTCTGTTTTTCAAATGCAGAATTCAGTAGTGCAAGACAATAAGGCAATTTACATTTTTGAAGTCTAATACTTTTTTAATAGAAATGACAGTTGCCTAGCAATAAGCATTAGAGACTTGATCTATGTAATGCAGCAGACATTCTTTCACTAAATCGGCTGGAATAGTATTATCTATTTTAATACTAAAATTATTTCACTTTTATTTAAAAGGGCCTTTCATTTTAGCTTTTAATACTTCATTGCACCATGGAATTTAGTGCAACAATTTATGTTCTGGATTGTGCGATGCATGGTTATTTTTATGAACACATACTCTTCTCCGTACTCCCCCTAACTTTGCCTTAAATGTGTGTTTGCTCAGATGAATCAACATTTCTAGTTGAATTCCACAAATGAGTAGGGACTCCTTTATCTCTGTTTGGCTAGAACATCAAGAAGATGAAATGAAATATAATTTAATGCAGTTATGGGACATTTGCAAATGTTGTGTGATGAGTGCAGTCGTCTTTGTGGATGCAAATGGGCACTTTGAGATAAGGGGTTTATACCACTGACAAAGAACATGACTGTATGGTGGCACATGTGTTTTCTACACAGGGAGGTGTCTGTATTTTTCCAGTTGTTGCTGTGGCTGCTGATACAGTACAGCAGCAACTGAGCTTCCACATGGTAGGTTTCCCTCTATCTTTCCTGCTCAGGTCATCAGGAGTGGCAATATAATGATATAACAGTTTGCATATCCATTTCTTTGAACTGCTATCTTTCAAAAATAAGTATCTAGCGACCCTTTTGTGGAAAGGCACTCTGCAATAAAAGGGGCTAGATGCTTACTTAAAATAAAAACAAAAGCTGGTTATTTAGCTGTCTGATATGCAAATTGTTTTGTCATTATAACAATACTCAATTGCTGATTTACAAAAGTGAAAACAAAGCTCCCCAGTAGTGGGGGCCGGTGTGACAGAGAGTAAATTGTTAATTCTGTAACCTGGTCTGATAAAGCTTTCCAGAAGTTTTTTTTTAAAACTGGTAGGACATTTTCTTAGGAAACTAAACATAGGGAGGGGGAATTAATTTCCTGGTGAGAGTTAATTTAAATTGCTTAAACATGTTTTGACCAAATTTCTTGTGCTTGGATCAGCAACTATTTCAATCTATTGTATCATTCCAGTTGAATAATGTGTGTTTTCAGACATATTCTTTAGCTATGGCCCACTTCATACATAGTGGAACAATGTGTTTCACATAACAGAAAAACAGCATTGACCATTTTCCTCCATGCCGTCAGTTGTGAGCTGAGAACTCATAATAAGCAGATTTAGCTGGCCATGTTAACATGATGATTACAAAAATGCCATCCTGTCTCAACTTGCCTCAAGGTTGTTTTTTTGCCTTATAGAGGTATCAGCTGTCAACGAGTTCTGACATGATGGCATTATCTACTTCTGAGTGAGTTATTAATAAGCTGAGTATACCCAGCAACTTCCATATTAAGCAAGCAAACAGAATGATAGCTGGACATCTTCATTTTGTTGTGAAGGTATACAAAATATCTCATAACATTACTGCTTTCTCTAGAAGTCTTACACTTTTCTCTGGCACTGCTCCTCAGTGTACTTTTCTATGCTATCAAATATTTCTTCTTCTCCCCTCTGCCTTTAAAAATGTTTTAATAGGGTCAAACCAGACCAGATATTGTAAACTCCACTATCAGATTTCCAGCATATTAGTTTTAGGGGGGGGGAGCCTTAAGAGGTTCTGATTTAGATCAACACTGTGGCACAGGAACAGATGGGATAAACTCTTTTTTTAAATTATTTGTCTTCCCCCTACACAATTTTTTCAGCTATTTGCTATGATAGGGGAAATATAAAGTATCATATGGTTTCTTTAAAAGCAAAAAACCCCAACAACATGCTGAAGACTCAGTAACAAACTTTTGTGATTTTATGTAATTTGCCTGTAATTGTAACAATCAATTCAAGGTTAGGGGTGTGCAAAAACAAGTCAACATTTTTCGGTTCTGGTCTATTGAGCCTGAAATTTGTTTGGTATTTCCGAGAAATCCCAGATCCCAATACCGGTATGGTATTCAGAATCATGAATTTTTAGAAATCTCTCCACTACATACATAAACTGTGCCTCAGGAGAAGCTGGCCCCAGGATCTGCATGCAGCAGGGAGGTCTCTCCCCACTATATGCAAACTCAGCTGGGTGGGCTTCTCCTGTAGTGCAGTTCAAACCATGCCAAAGGAACTGGCCCCAGGATCTGCATGTGACAGGGAGCTATCAACTCCCACCACCCTGACTAATCCTGGGCTGGCTCCTCTTGCAACTCAGTTTAAACTGACCTGCAAGAGAGGATCTGCTGAAACAGCAGAAGAGCTCCAGTTTAGCTGCAAGAGCCACCCTGGCTGATCTTCAATATAGCTGAATATCCCTGAATAATATTTTTTTTTAAAAAAAAAAAATTGGCTTTTATTCACGCTCAGCTATACCAGTAGCTGATCAGATTCTCTGAGTCTGTATTCAGCTTAAATAATATCCGGAAAATACTGGTAAGGTATTTCTTGATATTTTTAGAGCTCAGTTTATGCTGAATGCACACCCCCTATTCAAGGTCTGTTATAGGAGTGTGCAAAAATCATTTTTGGAGGGGGGTATATTGGACCTGAAAAATATCAGTATTTCCCAATATTCTCAAATTCCAATACCCAATTTTTTTCAGCTCCATGATACTTTATGGGGACAATTTTTTCGAGCCCAGCTCAACCATTTCAGTCTACAGAATACCCGGCAGAACCTAGTGCCACCATGGCACAGCAAACTTTAAAGGACTGATCTCAAAGCACAGTGTCAGAAGAAAACAAAGTGGGGGGGGGGATTTTGCAAGCCTAGAACAACCAGTTACAATGTGCAGAAAGCTCAGCTGGACCCAATGCCACTGGCACTGCATGCTTAAAAAGACTGATTTCAAAGCATAGAATTACAAATCCATGCAAGGAGGGGTTTTTTGCAAGCTCTGTGCAAGAAAATGGGAAGGAAACACCAAAAAAAGCCAGCAAAGGGGGAAAGACTCTCTTGAAACTGACAAGACTAGTTTGAAACTGACAAGAGCAGTGGGGAAGCCCATAAAAACCCTGAGATACAGACCCCAAAAAAGGAAATTAAAAAAACAGTTCCTGGGAGCCTGCAATGCTGGAAAATCTTCCCAGAAAATCATGAATATATCTGGATTTTTTTCAGGATTTCCCCCCCAGTTTTCTGAAAAATCCCAGATATCATTGGGGTGCCAAAATATACCTGAAAAATACTGATATTTATCGGGTATATTTTCAGCCTGGTTGTATCTGAATGCACACTCCTAGTCTGTTATTTAGCCCATAACAAAACATTTAAAAACATAGAAACAAAGGCATCACTAAAATTCATATGCAATTATTAGTCTATTATTGGTTCTTTGAAATGAAATATTATTTGTGAATATTGATAAGTTCTGATTGTCATGAGTTCTTTTTATTTTTGCTTTATACATTGTTTTACTTGATCTTAACCTGTTGTTGGCTGCCTGGGGGTTGCTTTTTAAAGATAGAAGAGTGAAGTATGTTTAAATAAACTTGTATTAAATACAAAAAAGGAAAAATCAAGCATATGCACACTTTACATGTTAATAGTCATCATGCACTAAAAAAAGAAACTTCAAAGAATATATTTTGAATGGATTGCTATCATTTAATGATGACAATATTGTCACTCTCAAATATGCATTTTAGGTGCTCAGAATAATACATAATAAAATACAAGGCTGACATAATATCACTAAATGTGACATTATTCCAACACTTAATGGTTATTTCACTAATGTAAATGGAGATCCTTAGGATCCAGATCTAAAGAAATGCTCAAGTCATTGCACTGAGCTCAGAATCATCCTTGTTTCCAGATAAGCACACACAGACACTGGCATAAATCTCCAATTCAGTTCTACAAATCTACAATGCCCAAGACCCAACAAGATCCCAGCAAGAAACAGAGCACTACAGTGTTAATTATTCAGCATTAAATATGTACAATCAAGTGTATACAAAAAGATGTGGTTGGTATATGTTGCATATCTTAAAATTATTATTCTATGGATGGAAAAATAGTGATGCCTACAGGCATTATCACACTTAAAATGAGTATAAACCGTGTCAGAAATTTTTGGCATGTACTTCCAAATATAACTTTGTCAGTGTTGGATACAGTTTATGCTTTATGGTATAAATTTTTTATGATGAGGCAAAGTTGTGTTAAACCCATTTCTACAACTTCCTGCCATATTATGCTAATTGGAGGCAAAAATGCAAGTCAGTTTATTTATTTATTTATATTTACATTTTTATCTTACCCTCCCTGCCATTCGGCAGGCTCAGGGCGGCTAAGGACATAAATATATCTAGTTCTAAAGGAGATCATTTCTACAGTGTGTTAATCCTAGGCCTCCTCCTTTATTTTAGTTTAGAAATACAGTCAAAAGGATATTTTGTTTGTTAACTATTCAAGAGTAGGAAAGAAAAATATCAATAATAAAGAGCTGTTTTCCAGTGTGAAAGTCTTTCACAATGAGAATAAAATTTAAAATAAATGAAGAATTGGAATAGAGAATGGGACTAGTTGGATAACATAAGAAGAATTTGTTCTTGTGGTTGTTATGTGAGCATGTGGGGTTTTGCAGCAAAAAAATGTATTCCAGCATAGTTTATAGATTTTTACATATTGCATGTGAGGTCTCATGACATTTGAATGGCCTTTTCTTCCATGTTTTTCACAGGCCCATCTAGTAGCGGCTTTTGAAAAGAGTTTAGGAAATATGACAGGCCGGTTGCAAAGCCTAACAATGACAGCTGAACAAAAGGTATGTTTGAAACAGCAGCCACTTCAATGTGGAAAACAGTCATTGGTTTATACTGAACTTTGTATTGAAACAAGAAGACTGAGTGAAAGGACAGCTGTAAGGATAAACAGACAGGTGCATTTTTCTTTCATCAAATTTTAACTTCAAAGCTTCATAAAAGCTCAATAAGAATAAAATTACGCATCATCAGGTTTAGCTTGGCTGTATCAGAGGGCAGTACAAAGATAAAATCTTTCATTTCCACATTTAAATTAAAACATTTGTGATTCTGGATTTAATCTATATTGAAAGATTCAGCAACAAAAGCTGGTCATAAACCAAGTGTAGTGCTTGTTCCAGTCTGACAGCATTATCAGAATTCTAAATATTGGAAAGAAGAAATATCTCAGTGGCAGACGTATAAGCCAGTTTTCAGCCCTTTAGCATTAGCTGAAAGAAAAAAAGGGGGGGATAATCTTTTGATTTGGTTTTGACTTATTGTTCAGAACTCTTTAAATGCCTCTTATGTGGTCTTACAGCACGGAAAGAGTAAAAGTCCAAACACTGAAGTTAAAATTAACATGTAAGACAATTAAAAGTGGTCATGTGTTGCATGCTGGGGCTAATACTTCTGGTGGTATGAGGAAACATGAACCATGAGGAAAGGTGGGAAACAATATTTCAATCTCTGTGTTAAGACTTGTGTTTAGACTTTTGACTTGTGGAGACCCTATGAATTAATTTCCCCCCAAAATGCCCTTTCATTAACATCCTTGCTCTGGTCTTGCAAACTGAAGGCTGCCTCTATTTCAGGAAATCCATAAAACTCTCCTTGGATCACCCCAGTTTTCACATATTTTGAGAGCTTTCCCCGTGTATGAACACTAGCAAAAATCCCTGATTCTGAAGAACTGCCAAGATAAGTTTTAAAAGGCCAAATAGATTAGCAGCACTCTTTTCTTGCCAGTCTACCCCACTAGAGCCAAAGGATGGGAAGAAAGAGAGTTCACCAGAGAGGAAGAGGGAGGGATTATGAAAGCCCTCCCTCTTGTTCTTCATCATTTTGCAATGGTTAAGATAGTGTCAATGTTACATCTGCTCTGGGCCTGTGTTTAGGGAAACCAGGTCTCCTGCTACAATGTGAGATCTCCATCCTGTGGCCATCTGCTGCTACCTGATACAACAGCAGCAAGATGGGTGAGAGTGTCTCTGCACCACCATGATGTCATGACCAGAAGTGGCCTCATGCAGTGCTCTAGCAAACCCACTGTAAAACAACAGAGATTTGGGAGATTGCTAGAGCATCAATGTGATATTGTGCAATGGCTAGTCCCCCCCCCCAACCCTCCCACCTTGAAACATTGAACTTGACTTGTGTTTGAAAAAATTGCATACACGTTATTTTATATACTTAAGAAACCCATCTAAGAGGAGCCAGGCTAATGTATACACTTGTCACCCTCAAGTCAGTGATCTTCATACCAGTCAGGGGTCGTTTCGTAGAAAAAGAGCTAGGGGAACTCATTAGCATAACTCATTAGCATATGCCACACCCCCTGACATCACCGGAGGTGTGTCATAAGGCCACACCCCCTGTCATCACCGGAGGTGTGTCATAAGGCCACACACCCCACCCCCAACGGTCCTGGCCACCGGCCTTGCAGCTCCACTGCCGAGCCCCATGAGGGGCCCGGCGGTGGACCTGCAAGGCCGGCGGGAGTGCAAGGAAGCCCCGCGAAGGCCCTCCCTGGCCCCAGGCAGGCAGGGGTGGGGAGAGGCAGGGAGGAAGCAACTTACCCTCCCTCTTCTCCTGCCTCCTCCTGGCTGAATGAGGGCCGGAGGCGGGGCGGCCGGAAGCAGGGGGCGGGGCTTCGTCATGTGCCCCGCCCTCCGGTACCTCACCCGGGGAACTGCGATCCCCCGCGTTCGCCCCCGAAATGACCTCTGATACCAGTAAATATATTTCACAGTACAGGTTAAATCAGATATCTGCTCATTGTAGCCCTTAAAGCTGATGTCGTTGATTGTGGTCCATGATGCCCAGTGACTGACTCTGTTGAGTGTTCATTTTCCCATTAGTGAGAAATTTACTTGTGTCAGAACTGAATTTATATTCTTTTCCATCTCCTGGGAATAAGATGTAAAAGTGCATATAGAGCAGAGGTCCATCAGTGACTATTAGCCACAAGATATAGATGGAACACTCTGTCTGGGGCAGTGATGCTCTGTATTCTTAGTGCTTGGGGGACAAGTGGGAGAACTTCTGGAGTTCTGGCCCCACTGGTGGACCTCCTGATAGCACCTGGGTTTTGGCCATTGTGTGACACAGTTTTGGACGGCATGGGCCATTGGCCTGATCCAACATGGCTTCTCTTATATTCTTCTGTCCTTAAGTGTCTCATTCTAAAATGATTCTTAGGTTCCCTTTTGAATAAAAATAGTCTCAAACAGTTATTTCAGCCTGAAATATTTTGCAAAACTTCAGGCTTTGTTCCTTAAAAAGATTATAATGGTTGCATTGACCTTAATAAGCTTTCCCAGAGATCTGAGCACATATTTTTTCCTCCCTGCCACTGAGGTTACATTCTTATTGCCCCTTTAATCCCCATTATATAAAATGAGAAGTGGAAGGATTGCTGCTAAATGGAGCAACTGTAGATTTAATCAAAACTGCATTATTTGTTGAACAATTGCCTACCAAAATATGCTATAGACCAGGGGTGGCGAACACGTGGCTCTAGAGCCGCATGCGGCTCCCGGCCAAAATTAATGCGGCTCTTTGCCTCTTATCATCATTTTGTATATTGTGGCTCTGTCGCGTTCCTCCTTGGTCTTGGGGGTGGCGCCCCAGTGGCCGTTGTGGCACGACGTGAGTGGGCCCCGTGAGGAGCGGCGTGGCTCTGGAGGCGAGGGTTTGGAAAAGACGGGGTAGAAGAGGACCTCAGAATGGCAGGGGGCGGGGTTGACGTCACCCCGAGCGCCCCTCTGCCGACACTCCCGCACGACCTCTGGCACGCTCCGTCTCTCTT